AATATTCACTTCCCAGATGCTTGTGTCCCGCTTCTGACTGTTAAATTGACAATTAAACAAAAATATCTGAGCATTTTTTAACAAGATTTCGCAGATAAACTCTCTTGAATCACCAAATTGTCCTGGTCTGAACTAGAGAAAAAACGCACTAGTCCGCTGCTGCAATTAAGATGTAACAGACTCAGTATTATAGAATCAGTGCTGACTCGTCATTGCGTAATAGGAAGACGTATTATTCGATATGTGTCTTATAATGACTTTTGTAAAAAGTTATGGCTCTGCGGATGAAAAGGAAATCTGTAATCTTAAGTGCAACATTCCTTACCGACCTAACAGGGCTGTAATCTGACAAAATAAGGAGCTTAGCTAAGTTTATGGAAATACCAGGTTAGTTCATCTTTGTCTAATGGTGGATCATGCTTTTCCGTCTTGCTTCTACGCTGATCTCTACTTAGCACATATACAAACTTGATGTAATGGCTCTTAAAAACTATTCCCCACTACTTTGTGATCTTAACCTTTCAGTTTATTATTTATATGAATCAGGTCTTGGACTACTAAGCAGGAGATACTGACTCACTTCAAAAACAACATTCAAAGAGTTTCACTTATAAATGGCCGTAGCTACTTCAAAACTAAGCTTTCATGTTGAGTTTATTCGGTCATCCACAGAACAATTATATCGAAATCATATATATATGAAATCATATTCATATACATTGCCGAGATTTTAGTGCGTTTAATTTCCATTTAAAAAACAAACCTTTTAAAAAACCCCTAAAACCTTATGGTACTCTAAAAGGACGAATAGACATATTGAGTTCTCAAAAAAGTACTTACATTTCTGTGATTGTTTAATTCTTTACATACATTTTACTATATATGTATGTTTCAATTAAAAGTTTTCATTATGTGGAAAAATGACAACTTCCCACATACATTGTGACCGAAAAGCTTCCGGAAATTTTAAATAAAACGCAAAATTCTTAATCTTCATCAATATTTATTTTATCTCCTTCAAAATATGCTCCATTAGAAGCGATACACAAATGCCAACGTTTCTTCCAATCATCAAAACATTTTTTATAGGCGCTTTCCGGTATGGCTTTGAGTTCCCTCTGCGAATTCTGTTTTACGTCTTATATGGATTCAAAACGCGTTCCTCTGAGTGGTAATTTGAGTTTGGGAAACAGGAAAAAGTCACACGGTGCAAGATCAGGTGAATACGGTGGCTGTTCGATGGTATTTATTGAATTTTTGGCCTTAAAATCGTTGATAATGTTGGCTCGGTGCGAGGGAGCATTATCGTCATGAAAAATCCATGAATTATCCTTCCACAATTGAGGCCGTTTACGGCGGATAGCTCTCACGACCGATGCCTAGCTCTCGTGCTATCTCTCTAACACTCACATGAGGATTTTGGAACACGATTTCCTTTGCCTTTTCAATGTTTTCGTCGGTGGTAGAGGCCGAAGGTCGTCCAGAACGCGGCATGTCTTCGACGGTCGTACGACCGTCCTGAAAGGCTTTGTACCACTCATAAACTTGAGTTTTCGATAAAACTGATTCCCCATAAGCCTTTTGTAGCATTCGCAACGATTCTGCACACGAAATTTCGTTCGAAACACAAAATTTGATGCAAACTCTTTGTTCAATTTTTTTTTCCATTGTTTTTTTCGCAACGCACTACTGAGGTGAACTGGTTTCAACAGCTGCCGTAAACGAACTGTCTGACAGATCGCACTCATTTTTGGCATAGTAATTAAGGACAGTGCTGCCAAACTACATAAACTTAAAATATCGAAAAATATACAGCGCGCGAATTTTAAATGAGAACCTCCGAAAACTTTTCGGTCACAATGTACTAACATAGTATCAGTACAAATCAAAACGATGTACTGGTGTGCCAAAGTAATAGCTTTGATTTCAAACCCGAATTCCAGAGTGATATCTCAAAAAAATGAGTCAGCTTCTTAAATATTGCATACCACTTTTTTTTTGCGTACCACTATAATTCGATAAATTTCGCAATAATAATTTCTCAATAATTAAGCAGATACGCATGTATTCACACTTCCGTCAAATTAAATTAGCTTGAGTTTTCCACCAACAGAACCCTAAAAAAATTGACGCTTTTTATAAATCAGCAGTTTTGTATGGAAATTGAGTTTTTTTTTACTCGGTCTATATGTAGAACTATACTCCTGAATGCATAGGACTTCTTGTATTTTGGTATGATTTCATCTTATTCTTTCAGACGTTCGAAGTGCCTACCTGTCTGTGGCTGTGGCTATGGCTGTGTTGGGCAATAAACTAAAAGCACAAACCTCGAGAGCAGCAAAACAGACTTCCTATTTGCTTTGTAAAAGTTTTCTGTGGAATTTTTTTATGCGATGCTTCGTTGCATATTAATTCGTTTTCTCTTTTACAAAGAATTGTCGTCCGATGTCCTGTCAGTAACGTTTGCAAGTCTTCCATAGTGCCGTTTTGTTTAACTTATTAGTGAGGTCATCATTTTTGCTTTTGAGCATTCATTCCCTTTACTTGTGCCTTGTGACCTTTCCTTTCGAGTAATGCGCAATGGACACAATTTGTAAGTTTCGTTTGGACTGATGCCGAAATCCAACTATATGCGTGCCTATTTCAGTCGAGAAGTTCCAATAAAACTCAGTAAATTATACAAAGTACTTGGCAAATGCAAACATACAGTAAAAAATGTTGAGCTGATTTTAGTACGTGAAAATTTTTGCTCATGTTTAGATAGATTTCTTGTATGTCAAAAATATCAGAGGGATTTCTGCTCAGTTATGTGTTTTAATAAATAATTATTCAAAAAAATAAATCAAACAATTGTGACTGACATATGATCCGAACTATTTTCGTTGTATGAAACATTATTGTCTAAAACTGTTCAGATGTCATAATCCAAAAACACAAAAACTCTTAGGAAGATCGATTTTAGACCGCCAAATCTAAAGGTCACCCAAACTATCAGAAGACGTGGTACTTCAAATCTTGTAGCTATCAACAACTCTGCGTTTTTTTATGCCGCCTGTGTTAAATAAAATTTGTTTACTAACTGCTCTAAGAACTTTTAATCATCGGAGAGAGCGATATTCAAGAAAGGAGAGATATCATGCGAGCGCAACATCTTTTGAAAATCGTTAAAAATATGTCATTTTAGGAATAAAGAAGTCTTACTTCGAGTTCACTTTTAAGTACAACTGTCCCCCATTTAACACGATAAATTCGTTCCGTGTTACTTTGAAACCGTGTTATATAAAACTTTTTATTCATTTATGTAAATTAAAAAAAAAAAAAAAATATCTTCAAATACCTTCAACTCAGTGGGGCCACTTGTTGGACAGTGCGCTGTCCCAATATCCCACCATATATATATATAGCTTGGCAGATTTGATTTATATTCACTTCCGGCACAGATTTCATTGAATAGTAATCTTAATTTTCCGCAAAATTACTAACATATATTTATTTTTTTTTTCTAACCACCTTTATCCTGTTTTGGAATATTGCAAAATTCGTTGTATCATATTTTTATTGAAGTACAATAAAGGATCTAACTATAATCGCTTACACGCCTTCGTTTTCATTTTCGATTAGTATATCGCAAATGAAATGTATACCACACGAGAATAAGTTGTGACACTTCAGATATTTTGTCAGAGTAGCAAAATTATCTTAAAATCACAGTGGTTTTATATGACTTCACAAAAGAAGTGAGGTTTGATTCGATATATGTATGGATGAAAAATATGAATGTCTAATAACACTACTTTAGAGCAGTGTTAGAATGCTCTAAAAATGTTCGGTTGAACAACAAAATGTGACAAATCTAGAGTAAATCTAGATTAAATCCAGATTTATTAATTCAAAACACTATATGTAAAATATGGACGTCGTGTTGTTATAAATTCGAAACTTGTATCACTTTAAAGTTAGGCTACCAATCAAACATTTAATATAGTAAAAAATATTAAATATTTCTGCTGTTAGCTAATTTTTACTTGAAATATATACAAGGTAATCGTTTCAGAGTGAACAAAACTTTTCATAAATTAAATCAATTATTCATATATTGTGGGACGTTGAAACAGCGCAGCGTCCATCAAGTGACCCTACTGAAGTGAGGCCTTAACCAAAGTAGACCACGAAACGACTTGGATTCTTTTTCGTCTTTCCATTCCCGATCCTTCGTTATGGAGTTACAACTTAAGTGGCTTCCGTTCGTATAACTATATCTCTTATTGTTGCAAGCAGCTTGTTTAGTTTGATGTACCAAGACATCATCCTCCTGATTGCCAGTGCTGAACATTGGCACAATATATGCAACGCTGTCTTCTTTTCTTCTAAGCATAGTCTGCAAGTGTCCTTCTCAAAAAGAGCTTTTCATGTCCAGTAACCAATGAGGAAAGCCAAGCAAAAACAAGTACTTTTCTAGATAGAGGACCGTGCCATGTGGCTTAATGTAGTTTTTGTGAAAAAATATTCAACTTTCAGACGTGATATCTCAAAACCTTGATTATATTGATACTTAACAAAATGAAACAGATTGTTAAAAAAAGCTGTCTTCACTAAAATCCATTGTGAGAAGGATGTGCAATGATGTTTTGAATATATGATACATATCTCAACTTATATATATGTGCTGCATTCTCTCTCTCTCTCTCTCTCAATACTACAAAATACTTCAAGTACTTAGCTAAATACAAAGTATTTTTTATCAGCAAATTTGGTAAAAAATTTCTTCAACTACAACATATAACGTGTCCTGTTTTATACACATAATACTAAAGGTGTTCCAAAACTCCGAAAAATATTTTAACTTTAAACACTTTTCAGCAAAATGCAAATTAAATATACAACACTTTTGGAAGTTATTTTAAATAAAAGATTTTCTTTTATTTTATAGTACTATATTATTCAATTATTTCAAAATAATAATAATTTTATATATTTATATTTTAAATAAATTGCATTCGGTTTCAGATAGACTTACAGTCATAGTCTGCATACAATTTCATAAGAAGAGAAGTCTGTGTTGGGAGATCTTTTGCCTTTTCGTATTCTGCATACCAGTTGAGTAGCGTTTCTTCCGCAGCTTTATCCTCTTCACTAATATCTGCCACAATTGCATCAATTTGTTTATTCAAGTCGTTCCATAGAACCCTTTCCTGTTTTTTAAATTCATCCCACCCGCTTTTAGATAAAGATATTTCAACAAATAAGTTCTCACTTATAAACTTTCCAATAAGAACAGTATTTCGTCTTTTATAAACAATGTCAAGTTGTTTACAAATATCGTGAAGTAAGGCTGTATATTCATCTGTTGTGAGACTTCTAGAGGGATCAAACTTCTCAACGAGTTCCACATAATCATGCATTTCTTTTATATTTGTATGCAATGGTTCCTTCTCTAAATCAAATCCGTCCACATCCTCAAATACTTGTTCAAAAATTTCTTTCGGTTTTACCAACGTCAAATTAATCCAACGACCAAAAGTGGTTCCACTGGCTTCGATTAATTTTTCTGTTTTATTCTTCATATGTTTGTAGGACTCTTCTGATGAGATATCATTTGTTTCTGGAGATGCGTGGCAACTCTGAAAGGATTATTACTTTAAATAATATTAATGCTAATATGTATTTTCACTTACATGCAATAGTGCAATTGCTAAACCCAACACTATAAGCCGTGTTTGCATTTTTTAATATAATTTGGACTGTCTACGTCTGTAAGAGCTTCAATTGAATAACCGCTGAAAAGTTTTTGCATCTTATATATAAGAGAACTAATTTTATATTTTGCTCTTCCACTGAACGGTAGTGTTGTGTGGGCATCTGTCTACATTTTATATAGTATATATTATGGCATGTATATATATAATATAGTGCATACTGTCATATAAGTGAACGATTCTTATCGACAAGGTAAGGTCAAGTTCATAAGTACATTAGACGCTGCACCAGTCATTTCAAAGAAAAAATTATTTCTTACAATCTAATCTATCAGTATAGCTTCATCGAATTAAAAATATTTTCCATATGAGTGACGAAATGTGCACTGCAAGTATTTAGCAACAAACTACACCAGTTTACAGCCAAATATTTTCAGAGACGAAACCTATATATTCTATAGGGATATTTTCTATAGAATTCGAAAATCGTAACGTTTTCGAGTTATTTGCAAAAAACCGTTATTTTGACTTTTCTCAAAACATCACTCTGCGTATGCACTCATAACATTTTTTTTGAAGTTACCTCATACAGTATTATATATCATTTTAAAGGTGATACTTTTAGGAATATTTTAAGCTATATAATGTTAATGTAATTTAATTGGTTTAGCTATTATAGCTAAAAACGTATAGATGAAAAATATTTTTTCCACACTTTTTTTAACTTTTTCGATTTTCAATGTAATCGGACTCCCACAAAAATATTTAAAAAAAAACTTTTTTTTGATTGATGTTAAAGACGGGTTTAATACAAACATTTTGAGTGACTTAACATAATAATCGAATAAAAATTTCAGAAGTTATTCGCCATTTTCCAAAATTGCTAAAAATAGTACTACTTATTTATTATAAGGAGGTATATGTGTGCTTTCAGCAAACTTCTTATAGTGTGTGGGATTTGTTTCTCTAATTATTGTCCAACAATAATCTTCCAACGTGCTCGCATCCCAATACTCTTGATATATTTTTTCCATTGCAGATATACTCTGATGAAAACTTTCACTTCGTTCATCACTTTTTGTACCGAGACTTAAGGAAAAACATGAGTCCACATAAGAATGCAGTAATGCATGTTTAAAGATATAGCTGCCCCAATAACTTTATAATTTTCAATTGAATATGAAAAAATTTCTTCTAATATGAATCTCTTTCGTTATTCAAGAAGCCGATAATCGTTTGCTTAAACTGAACTTCGGACGGAACTTTCTAATCTTCTTTATGTGTGGACACATTATTAAGTTTTCCATCTTTCATTAGTACAAAACTCTTAATTATTTGTAAACTAGTGTTATTATTTGTCGTTAAATTCTACATAATGTGGCTGAATTTGTTTGTCTTAATTAAACTATTTAGAAGCTGTGCAGTTCTACAAAGAATTTGTTTACAAAATCATTTCAAGTTGCACATAAATAAAATAAAAGTAATTAAAAAAATATTTTTATATATTTATTTAAAAAAAAATTAATAAAAATCTTGGTTATAAAATTTTATAGAACTCCTACAGATTTTATATAATCATATTCACACCTTTATTCATATTCATATTCCCACTATTACGGATGATGTAAATCATATCTTGAAAAAGGTTAATAGTAATAAATTCAATTTAGTGAGTTTACGCAGAGATCTATTGCACCCTAATGATACTAGCAAAAAGTAAAAAAGTTCTTTCGAATACAAAAAGTGTCGGAAGTGTCGGAAGTGTCTTCTTATCTCTATTCTTGAGATAGGAAGAAACCACAAAACATTATCAAACTGATTTTTAAAGAATTGTTAAGAAATATGTTGGTCTCTGGAAATATTATTTAAATTTATTTGCTTGCATATAATGTTTGGACTGCAAATTCCAAAGGTTCAACATAAGCCCTGCAATAAATGAAGAGCAAATACACTCTTTAGATATTTAACAAAAAGCCGTACTTGGTTTATATTATTTAAACTAGCAGTTTTATGAAAATACAGTTTCTATTTCACCAACAAATTCACTTGCTGTGTATCACAAAAACAAAAAACTTCTATACTGCTATAAAAATTTACTATATAATTAACCTCAATAGTTGTCGATAAATTTTAATACCAACATTCGAAATACATACCAATATCTCAATTAAGTTACTTATTAATGAAGATCAGTTGTGTGTTGTCTGAACACACAATTTAAAGTTTTAAAGTAAGTAAGGTTTTTATGTTTCGATAGATAAAAGCTCTCTCTTAAAACTTAAATCACATCTAAAAATATATTAGTTTAGATTTTTGATTAGTTTGTAGTAGTTTTTAACAAATGCAGAGGAGATCATACGTATGAAGTAAGCAAGAGATACTTTATTATACTTTATTAATTCTGATAGTCCATCTGAAGCTTTTTTTATTTGAAAGTAGTCGATTTTTATCTGAACCTCTTTTACTTTCTATCTTGATCAGATATAGACAAAAACTTGTTCATTTTTAAACAAGTACGTTCTAACCAAGTCGCCAGTTGTATAGTAATTTTCTCAAGATGCTTCGACAGTTGATAGATCACCTTAAAATGTCTTTTACGTTAAATATTTTGAATAATAAATATTTTTTGTCATAATATGTGAAGTTTACTTTCTCTATTTTAAAAACAATCATCCTATTTTTCTTTTAATTGGCATGATTTTCAGATTATAGAACTAGTCTTATAAAGCTAACACAAGGTATACAATAACTCATAAAATCACACGTACTCATACTTTACTCAATAAGCTTCGTTGTAACTACCCACTTTGAGTTTACAGGAGATTTTCTACCACTTCCAAAGCAACCCTTAATAAAGTACTTGAGTTCTATTAATGAGGCTTCTTCGTACAATGTAAATTTAAACACTATCCATAAAATAAAATAAAAAGTATGATTCAGTTCGGTGTTTAATATATTGACGCAGAAAAACTTTTAGGACACAATTTTAAAGTCTTTATCTAAAACACAGAATAAAAAAGAAATATAGTCCTTACCTCACATTCCAATATTTTTCTGATGCGTCCCAGACTGATAAATTTTCCAGAGCTGGTGTATTTCTTGAAATATCACACAACTAACTACAGATTACGAGTAAAAATAAAATACAGTGTACTTTGTAGTGTACGATTATGATTATGAATCAGTGTACGATACATCTACGACTATGTATAGAGAAACCAAAATATAATATATCAGCTAATGCAATTCTTTCAAACCAGGAAAGGACTGGTGTGATAAGGCTGGAAACAAAAGAAGAGATAAATAGGCAAGGGTTTGATTAAAAAATATTTTTTGCGTTCGTCGACTTTTTTGGGGATTTAGAGGAGTAACTTTTACCATATAGGGTGTGAACATTACACATCTGAGCTCTTTCCTGTTTTAAATATTTCTTAAAATGTGATAAATCTTTCACGTTCTCATCGTTTTAACCAATAGTGCCTTGGTATTTTACGTTTTAAGTAGATAAAAGTTTTTCATAGTAGCTTTTTATTCTCCTTTCTTTCATCTTTACATAAAATTTATATTTTTTATAATTAATAATAATTATAAAATAATTTCAAATTAAAGTTTTTATAAGTTTTTGAATTTTATAATCATTTGAATTCCGTGCTCTACTATTACCATTTTTATGTCTTCTATTAAACTTTTGAATGAAACTCTTTTAATTTTGTAGTGTGTTAAACTAAAATTTATTTTATTATAATTATTTTAACAATATTACTGCATGCAACAATTTACTGCAAACTAACAAGTAACTATTTGAAATTAATTTAAGAGCTCAAAAATCTTTAAAATTTTTGAATTAAAATGTTGTATAATCAGGCAAATTTCGATAGATTAATCAAATTTTTGTTGTTGTTTCTTTATTGCTATTCAAACCCTTCTAGTTTGTTTTCGTCATAAGATGTGTGACATTCGTTAATAAATTTTTGAAGTTAGTTTTGTGTTAAAGTCGGGTTTTCTGAAGTATTCTTTAAATTTGTCATACAGTTGCTTAAAAATGCCCCAAAATTTTTCATAATATCGACTTTTTATACCATTTATACCATTTTCTATGCTCTGTAATTCCAATTTTATGTAGCAAATTTTTTAATATGATATCTTCTGGTCCATCAAAAATAATGCTTGCCCTAAGATGATTTAATATTTTGAAGCTAAACCTCGAAAGCCTGAGCTGAACTGAAGTAAAACATTAAAAGACTCGTATATAACTTAATCAACTCATTAAATAAAAGTAATAATTTTATAACGCAACTCTATTGAAGAGTTTAGATTTTTCATATTTTCTAAATTCAGTAAAACTTCTATAAGAACGATTTTCATAGACAACAGTCATGTTGTAGCCCAATGATATTCTGAGCTCTGTGCCGCAGAAGTTATGCCCTGATCCTTGCTTTGCAAGTTCCTCTGCCTTTCTGTTATGCTTAATACCTATATGTACTTTAACCCACTTAACTGTTACCTCAATTCCATAAGCACATTCATGATCTTCGTGACACATTCTTGTACTAAGCTCTTAACTACTATTATTATATTATTATATTATATATTATTTATAATAATCTTCTTCTCAGCCAATACAGCGAATTGTGCTGTCTATAAGCATGAAGAAGAGATATCTAAAATAGTTAGCTGATATATTCTTCGTATATTCGTATAAACCATCCCTTCTATGTCTTTGCAATCTATATTAAAGACAAAGTATTTCTGTTATACGACTTAAGTAGGAGAAATGAATAAACAATGACCTCCTAACAAGTGATAATTGTCAAACTAATATAACCTATAAAATATTTATGCAATATGTTTGAATCCGGAAAAGTGGGTTTTAAGTAATGTTAACTTAAAAATTTTACCGCACTTAACGTCTCATCATCTTCTTAGTATATGTTTTTTGTTAAACTGTAATTTCGTTAAGAATAGGGAATTTTTTAAAGAAGGAAGAACACCTTTTGCCAATCCTAACCACTAACAAATTATCCGATCAAGTTGAAACCATTCGCAGCAAAGGCGAAAAACCTTGTAATGATTTTTTATTTATTTTCAAGAGCTTCCCACTCTGATGAAGTGCACCTTTCCT